TAAGTTAATGGCATTTCTTTAAATGTAGCTTAACATTTGAAAATGAAATGCTATGTATTATTAGATGTGTTATTAGATATGTATGTATTAGAAAGCAAAATTTTCATATATTCTTTACACATTCACCTGCAAAAAATTAGTCATATTATATGACATAACCCTTGAGATTACTTAATTTGTATCTAAGTTTTTGCTTTCATTATTTCAAAAAATAATAGTATGTGCTATAAAAAATACACATTCTTATAAATTGCTATATTGAAATTATTTTTAAGTATCTCAATCGACTACAATTAAATTACATTTTTTATACAATTTTGCAGGTGTGTTCTTGGTACCTTATTTTTTAATACTTATTGTATGTGGAATACCATTATTGTACATGGAACTTAGTATTGGACAATTCACACGACGAGGACCAATCGGTGCACTCGGTCAAATTTGTCCCTTATTTAAAGGTATATTAAAATTTTATAAAACATATTAACAATTTATTAATCACAGAAAAGTAGCATTTATTAAGAGTACATGTTATATTGATCAACATATTATAATAATTATTATAAAAGTCGGTAGATCTGAAAATATTAATTTGTCATTTATTAACAAAAACCAAAAAATTGTTGTCTTATAAATTTAAGTAATCAATTTTTTTGAGATGTTCGCTAATATTTTGAATTAATTACTATTTAAAAAAAATAAATTATTAAAATATTATAAATGTGTTTCACATTTATAATCTATTCAATTAAACTTGTTCAACAGAATTGTATTTTATTTTAAAATTTTTTTTGGTTCATTAATGATGTTTTTAGTAATCATTACTTGTATCATTTGTTAAAGTATTTGATTAAATATTTAACAATTTGAAAATCTTTAATAGCAAAACATAGATACTCGAATACTGTGTTTAGAATTATGTACACACACACACACACACACACACACACACACAAGTCTTATCTATCTTTAGTTTCTTTTAAAACTAAAAGAATCGATAACAATTTAATTTTTTTCAAATATTAATTTAATCAGTCAAAATCAGTTTGTAATATTTTCAATTTTTTATAGAAATTTTATAGATTCAGAAAATAGTAAATTTTTAAAGATTTGATTGATTTTAAAAAATATAAATTAACGCTTGTGTTCTGTATTGCATCATAAATTTTTTTCTATTCTTTACATTTTAATATTTTTTATACTTTAGTAATAGTTAATATAACACTAGATCTATCGATAGGTAAAGTATAAAATCTGAAAAATTGAAGTGTAAAAAATAGGGAAAAGTTTATAATAAAATAAAGAATCGAAACTCTCATGCGATAGATTATTTATATCTATACCAGTACTATATCTAGAAAATGTTCATAAAAAATTACAAATTGATCATTTTAATTACTAGTTTTGTTGTGGTTTTATTATTAAATATGATAGAAAAATATTTTAATTGTATATCCCCGCCTTCCTTGCGAGTATCACAGTTACCATTAATTCTTCAATAATAAATGAAAACGAACTGATCTGTTTTCTTAACAGGAGCTGGCTTATCTTCTGTAGTAATATCATTTTTGATGTCGACCTACCATAATGTGATAATAGCTTACGCCATTTATTATTTCTTTGCGGCGTTCAGAGCAAAACAACCGTGGTCTGATTGCGATAATTCATGGAATACTCTGGCATGCTGGTTACCTAGTGCCATCGATAATAGGACAAAACCAAACGCTTCTAGAACACCGGCTGAAGAGTTTTTCGAGTAATTTCCTTATTAATTATCAGTTATCAATCGTGCATTTTAAAATCTCAAAGAACTTTCATCCGTCCCTTATGTCAAACACAATTTTTTCTTATAAAAATACACAAAGTCTATTTTTCTATTGTATAATGTATAACATATATTTTTGACGTATATAACATATATTTTGATGTATAACATATATTTTTGACATTTTTGATAACACATGCCGCTGAAGTTGCAAACTATTCGTTTTAACCTTAAAGAGTAAGGTAATACCTTGCTTTCTAATTATTGTTATTACAATTATTGCATTCAATACACTATCTTTTCAAAGATGCGTATAAGCATTTATAGTCTTAAATATATTTATACGAAATGAAAATACAAAACTAGCTCACGATATGAAATCAAACACTTATAAGATTTGTGTGAATCTTAAATTCTGTGAAATTTATATTACTTATCATTGATAAAAGGACCTGCAAATTTATTTATACTTCTCATTATTAATCTTTATTAGTTTTTTACTATTTGACGGCAAAGGATAAATTAAGTTGAAAAAAATGAAAGACGGATGAGGATTAAATAATTGCTTATAATGTTTAATTATAATTAATTAAATTATAATTTATTATTAATTAAAAATATTTATTTATTTTTCGTCCTATTATCTGGCAATTTAGCAACAAAGTACTCCAAATTAGTAATGGAATCGAAGATTCAGGAGCCTTAAGATGGGAGCTTGTTGCTTGTCTAATTACTGCTTGGATTATGGTATATTTCTCCGTTTGGAAGTCTATAAAATCATTGGCACAAGTGAGATACCTGACCGCGACTCTGCCATTTCTTTTAATCGTCATCTTCCTCATGCGATCTGTTACCCTTGAAGGTGCTGACAAGGGTCTACAATATTTCTTTCATCCCAGTTGGGAGCTACTTCGCAATTCAAAGGTAATCCAAGAACTGTTTCTTCGTTCTTTAATAATAATCTATCATTTGATAAAATACGTAAGATCCGAGTTATTTTAACCTGAATGGAGTGCGAATGCAAATTCATATGTTCAAAAATTAAAAATATAAAACCTCAAAATATTGTAGAAAACAATATAAATATTTTATATTTTGTAATATGGATATTTTATATATTTTATATACGCTTTATATATTCTTTTATATACTTTGTACATTTTAGACATTTTACATATTTACAACATTCTTTATAAATATTTTGTACATTTTTTCGTATGCTGTAGATTTTGTGCAATTTTATACTTTCAAATTATCTGTAAATGCAAAAAGATCTCCATTTACTTATTTTAATATTTCTTAAATTATTACCATTAACGTTCTAACTTGTATTTATTGTCTTGCTAATCATTGATTAGAAAAAATATTTTGACAAAAATCATTAACTGTACTTTTATAAATAATGACTAAATTAGATAATAATATAACATTTCTTATATCACAATTTTATTATTTTGTACTTAAATATTTATTGTTACACATAAATACGTAATATGAAATTAAAATTTTATATTACGTATTTATGTGTAATAATAAATTAACTTTTATTGATATATTTTTCTAAGTGATATGATTTTAATTCTTGTACTAACTAATTTTCATTTTCGTATATCAATCTTTAAAAAATAAAAGTCGATTTTTATCGTTATATATCGTTTCTTTGATAATTTCTCAAAATTGTCTGAATCTTTGAAAAATGTTAGAAGTTAGAAAAGAAACTATTGATCCATATGTCGTAAAATTGTATTTATTTTAAAATTACTAAATTGTCGCATAATGAATAGGTTTGGATCTATGCAGCCGCTCAAGTTTTCAATTCTATGGGCATAGCGTTTGGTTCGATGATATGTTTCGCAAGTTATAATAAGTTCCACAACAACATCTTAGTAGACAGCATTGTTGTTTCTTTTATAAATGCATTCAGCAGTCTGCTCGTTGGAATATTTTCATTTGCAACCATCGGCAACATCGCTCTTGAACAAAATATGTCTGTCAAAGATGTTTTAACAGATGGTACGTAAAACTATTTATCTCTTACTTAGCAATTGTAATTTCAATCTCCTTATCACATTAAAATGATTTTACCTTGATATAAATAAATATTTTAAATATAGCAATACTAAGGTATTTATTATCTATTTTTCTGTATCAATAATTTAATACATCATTTCAAAATAAAAATAAATGTCTTACTAAATAAATAAATATTTAATTCAATATTCACTCGTTATTTAACATAATAAAAATACTCTATATTTTTTCGTCTGAATGGTGCCAATCAATGTCAGATTAACTTCTCCTACAATTTTATAGACAAATCATAATTTCCGTTCAAGGACCTGGCCTCGTATTCGTTCTTTACTCGCAAGCGTTAGCCAAGATGCCAGCATCGCAAGTGTGGGCCGTGTTATTTTTCTTTATGCTAGTCTGCCTTTCTTCGAACAGTCAGGTACGCACAGATCTCGATTAATATGTATGCGAATCACTTATTTAATTACAATAGTACAATGTAAAAAATCAATACAAAGTTCAAATAGATCGATGACTGAGTAATTTTACTCTTTATATATTATAATTTTCTTGTTTCATGATAATTTCAGTTTACAATAGTGGAAGTAGTTGTAACGTCGATACAAGATGGTTTTCCGAAGTGGGTAAAACGTCATCTCGTGTGTCATGAAATTTTAGTACTTCTAATATGTGTTATATCCTTTTTATTTGGCCTGCCTAATATCTCACAGGTAAGATGCTTTATTTAGAGTAAAGTGATATTTAATTTGTAATAGATGTAGTTAATTTTAAAATTTTGCATATAATGGTGGTAATGATATTTCTCTAAATATTATATACATTTTATTTTATTTTAAGAATGAAAAGATCTCGAATAATGTATTACTATGTGATCACATTGCATGTATAAATATTTATTGTATTCTTATTATTATTATCATTAATAGAAAAACAATTTATATGCTACATAATAGATAAGAGTGATATTACTGAATATATATTTTGAATAGTTATATCATATTACTAATATTTTATACATATATTGATCAATTAAACAATCTAATTTCAAAACTTGTATATATATTTTTATTGTAAAATCTATGTTTTTAAATATTATATAAATCTTATATTTTATTATATAAATATTATATAAATTTTAACTAAATAATTAATTTGGAAGTACATACTATATCCAATTACAAATTATTCTAATAATTTAAACATCGTACAATATGAGATATATTATATTTTATTATATAATATCATTATTAATATTATTAATATTATATATTATATAATATTATTATTAACATTATAAATATTATTAATATTATATAAGTTTTAACTGAATAATTAATTTGGAATTACATACTATATCCAATTACAAATTATTCTAATAATTTAAACATCATACAATATGAGATATATTATATTTTATTATATAAATATTATATAAGTTTTAACTGAATAATTAATTAGGAATTACATACTATATCCAATTACAAATTATTCTAATAATTTAAACATCATACAACATGAGATAAACATACATATTTGCTCTATATACATATCTATACTGTTATTAATGAAATTTTCTATATTATTTTCGTTTTCAGGGTGGCATTTACTTCTTTCAATTGATAGATCACTATGCTGCCTCGATATCGATAATGTTTCTCGCTTTCTTCGAAATAATTGCAATATCCTGGTGTTACGGCGTAAGACGACTGTGTAACAACGTGAAAGAAATGACTGGACGCGTACCATCCTCGTATTTCTGTTTTTGTTGGCTTATCGCTGCACCTCTTCTTATCATGGTAAAGTTAATCATGACGTTTTTCAAAATAAATAAACAACTTTATCCGATAAATAAACAAATTTATCCGAACAAGTTATCACAAAAAAAAAAAATCGTAAAAATAGAATCAAGTTTGAAATAAAAATGAGAAATATGATTACAAAAACGAACATTTGTCATTCATATCAATTTTGTTTATATCTACTTTGATTTTGTTGTTATTCATCTATCAAATAATTTTATATATACTAATAAAGAGAAATATTTGTACAATCACTAGATATTAAATTAATTAAATTAATTTAGTTAATATTAATCAAATTTCTTTTTGCCAATTATATAGATATTGACAATTTATGACCGAATATTGAAAACAATTTTATATGTTTTCTTGGAACAGAAGAAAAATAACATTACAGTATTTTTCATAATGATTAAGCTATTTTATGTGAAGATAATTTCAAAAACAAAATCATATTATTATTGAAAACATTTTTATCCATGTACCGAAGAAACTATAAATTTCTCTTTATCAAAATTTTAATTAATTTTATGAGACATGTTATAAAAAATAAATTTTTCAACAATACATATAATTTATTAATACTGTTTAATCATTCATCTAATATTCGACCTTTTATCATATAATATATAGTTGTCATACAATATAATACAGTTATAGAAAAAAATATTACTACATATTTACAACTGTGTGTAAATATATTTTTATGCAAAATTACGATAATAAACAGGAAAATTCTGTTCTAATTATTCTATTCTCATTATATAATTAAAAACAATTAGATTAGATATAAGACACAATATGAATATAAAAATTAATAAAAATATGATGAAACTTTAATAATATTTGATAGTATGTACTTATAAATCAAATATAAATTTTTCTATACAGCATGAAATACAACATTTGTTGTATCCAGATGTAAATTCATAACGCAAAACTTGTATAACATGACCAGGAAATTGTGTTCTCTTCTATAACACGATTAAAAAACTATTTAAAATACTTTCTATGCAATACTATCTATGCAATAACATTAATATTCAGACATCTAAATATTTGGACACTAAATATTGAAAGTGCTATAATTTTATAAAAAGAAATCATATAACAATAAATTTGGGCTCGTTTTAAAACTTGAAGCTTCTACTTTCAAAATGTTCGATTGTTTATTATTTTAAAATGTTTTACATGTAATCACATTTTAATTATAACTGTGTCAACTAGGATTACTTAAAAAGATATATTCAAAAAAGGAATATAACTATAATAACTTTAAATACTTGCAATTTTAACTCGAAATAATATTTCATATCCTTTATATATATATATGTGTGTGTAAACTATATTTATATACACATTATATAAACTATTTATAATTATATATAATTATATTTGTATTTATATCTATAATTATTTATAATTATATTATAATAATAATTATATAATTATATATTATATATATTATACATAATGATATAATATATAATATATGTGTAATCTGACATTGTATGAAAATTGACCATCGACTGCGTACTATATTCCAATAAATCACTGTTTCAGGCTGTGTGGATATTCAGCTTAATTGATTATGTGCCACCGACCTACCACAAGTACAAGTACCCGTGGTGGGCAGAAGCGATCGGTTGGGGAATAGCTTCTCTTTCGCTCATTTGCATTCCCGCTTTCGCTATCTACGAGTTCATCAGAGCCAACGGCAACACTTGTGCAGAGGTACGATAACGCGAACCCTAGCGCGAGCCAGTGATTAAAATTTCATTCCACGCGCCATCGCCCACCATAATTTGCCTACTTTGTCTTTCAGAAATTACGGAACTCTATTAAGCCGCATTTCGAAGCGTGTAAAATTTGTGGCCAAGAATACTGTAACGAGTCTTTGCATAATTTTGAGGAAGATGTGATCAAGGAGCAACAGGACGTGAACAGTCCAGTACAACTGACTGTTCCTTTGAAATCTCAGACATGACGTCATATAGCGAATCATTCGGAAATATGAGTCATACAAAATATTTTTCAAGGTTGGGCAAATTTTATTTGAAATAAAGAGAAAAAAATTTAACAATTTAAAATAACAAATTTCTACTAATTTATTATCTTTATTGAAGAAATTACTTTATGTCGAGTCCAAATCAAATATATCATTTGCAAATAATCTTTTATTTGAGTTAATTCATTGAAATTAAATAATAATTAATCCTAACAGAATGTTTGTGACGTTTATACAATAGAATAAAAAATTATTTGAGAAATAACTAAATAATCAAATAATTAAAAAAAAAACATTTGCTCGTTTAAATAAACTAACGTATAATTACTTCAGGATAATATCAAGTCAAATAAGATGATATACTATTTAAATAATCATTTCTCAAATATTTTGTTCAAATAATGCCCAGTTTGATATTTTTAGAGATGAATAATGCGTTTATCTGGTAGAATTTCCGCTAATTTCTTGTTTTTCGTTAGTATCACACATGAGTTTACTAATAAACATTTGCAAAACGTACAAAAGCTGCCAAAGTCAAAAGTAAGTTGGTACATGAACTTCTATTTTTTTCTGTCATTAATCACATAAAAGAGTCACAAATATTTATAAATGTTCTTAAGTACTGGCGAGTATTTCTAATTCAAAGAAATTTTGCATAACTCTATCTGTATCCACCAACCGCAAAAGGTTTCTGAACGTTTGGCATTGCCTGTGAATATGTGATCTTATGTTAAAAAAAACAATCAATTAGAAAATCATTGGTTTGCTCAAACCTATCAATATCGATAATTATACTCCAGCAAACAAGTCTAGCAAATTTATGATG